ATGATGGTAATGATGTTGGCTGTGGTGGTGGTGGTGATCATGTCGTCGTCGTCGTTGACGTGTTGTGTCGGTGACGTCGTTGGCGTCGTTGGCGTCCTCGTAGTTCCCCACATCCAAAGTGGATTTCGTGTTTTCTTTGGACATCCCTCGCAGGAGCTGGGACACCCCTTTCCTTCTCACTCACACACTCTCACGCTGACATCAACATCATCACCATCATCATCATCATCAATTACAGACTCGCACACACACTCATTCTTCAGCTCATTCACCCATTCACAACCACGACATATCACTCGTCACTCATCATCATCATCATCATCATCATCATCATCATCAGCATCAGCATCAGCATCAGCATCATCATCATCGTCATCGCCACCATCATCACCATCACCATCATCAGCATCATCATCATCATCATCATCATCATCATCTTCATCATCATCATCATCATCATCATCAACATCATCATCATCATCATCATCATCATCATCATCATCATCATCATCATCATCATCATCATCATCATTATCACACCACCATCGTCAACAGGGCCTCGTCAGTGAGTGGCTTGCGAGGAAATCTCAGGCGGGAGCCCCCTCCCTATGAGGCCCGCCGGCTATGTTTGTAATCCGAACGGGTCATCGGAACCTTGTATATGTCGTCACTTTTGGGCCCCTGAGCCTGGGAGCCTCGTCTGTGAGTGGATTGCGAGGAAGTCTCAGGCGGGAGCCCCTATGGGGCCCGCACATTTTTTTTTGGTTGTTAAATCAGAGCTGTCATCGGAAATCTGTAACTGTCGTCGCGTTTGGGCCCCTGAGGTATGGATATGGGGGAGGTATCAGGCGGGGGCCTCGTGTGTGAGTGAATTGCGGGGAAATCTCAGGCGGGCGCCCTTTCCCTGTGGGGCCCGCCGCCTATGTTTTTAATCCGAGCTGTCATCGGAATCCTGTAACTGTCGTCGCTGTTGGGCCCCTGAGGTCCGAATGTGAAAGAAGTCTCAGGCGGGAGCCCCGTCCTTATGGGCCCTATGGGGCCCGCCGTTTATGTTCTTAATTCGAGCGGGTCGTCGGGATCCTGTAACTGTTGTCACGTTTGGGCCCTTCAGGCCTGGACATGGAGGAAGTATCCGGCGGGAACCTCGTCTGTGAGCGAATTGCGAGGAAGTGTCAGGCGGGAGGCTTTTGCCCATGGAGCCCGCCGCTTATGTTTTTAATCAGAGCGGTTCATCGGGATCTTGTAACTGTCGTTACTTGTGGGCCCCTGAGGCATGAATCTGGACAAAGTTTCAGGCGGGAACTTCGTCTGGGAGTGAATTGCGAGGAAGTCTCAGGCGGGATCCCTTTCCTTATGGGCCTTATGGGGCCCACCGTTTATGTTTTTAATTCGAGCGGGTCATCGGAATCCTGTAACCGTCGTTCCTTTTGGGCCCCAAGGGCTTGAATATTGAGAAAGTATCAGGCGGGGGCTTCGTCTGTGAGTGAATTGCGAGGAAGTCTCAGGCGGGAGCCCTCTCCCTATGGGGCAGGTTTTCTGTTGTTCTAAACAATGAAAATTGTATACATGTATGTATGTATGTATGTATGTATGTATGTATGTATGTATGTATGTATGAATGTATGTGCGTATGTGTGTATGTATGTATGTATGTTTGTATATGTATGTATGTATGTATGTATGTATGTATGTATGTATGTATGTATGTATGTATGTATGTATGTATGTATGTATTTGTGTGTATATAGATATATTCACACATATGAACGGGTCATTGGGATCTTGTAACCGTCGTCACTTTTGTGCCCCAGAGGCCTGGATATGGAGGACGTATCAGGCGGGTGGCGGCCGCGCTGTACATCGCGCTGGACCTTCTCGCATGCCACGGACGCAGTGCCACGCACGACGTGCAGGAGTCCACGTACAAGCGGCCGCACCACCACTTCGGACGCGTCCCCATCGTGTTGCACTTCGGCGATGTCCTGCAGCTGAAGCCTATGGGCAGCATCGGACTCCTGACGGACGTGAACGGGCTCCTGGACGACGGGTCCAACAAGTACGCGGAGCCGCCGACGGTGGAGATCCAGCGCGCCATCAAGGTCATCTCTCAGATCCGAAGGCACGAAGCGCTTCGAGCAGGGGGGCCCTCTGATCACGCTCTTGGGTTGCATGCGCGAGGGCGAGCCCTTCCCGCCAGAGGTTTGGTCCGCCTGAGAAGCGACGCGGGCCTCGGACAACCGCGGCGCCCTGGGCCTTCGGTGCCAGCGCGAGAACTTTCGACTCGTCTACGGCGCGGGCATCTACTGGGAGAGGCTGGCGAGGTGGATCAACGCGCGCGCCCGTCGCGACGCGCGGCGTCCGCGCGTGCCCCTCGTTTGCTTGCAGGCCGTTGACGAGTGCAGCGCGATTCAGGGCGATCCCGACGCGGGCCGGCGCCTCCTGGACGTCCCAAACATGCACGAGACGGGGGACGTCGCGGCGTCTGACCGGCCCGCGTCGGCATGGAGGTGCAATCCACGGCGGTGCAGGATGAGCTGAAGAAGAAGAAGTTGGGGCTCGCGCGGGAGCGGCGGGCCACCGTCGTATCCTTCGAGTTGCGCTCTGGGGACGAGCGGCGGCGCCAGGAGTGCGCGCCCGGCCAGGTTTCCCGCCCCCGCTACTCACCGCGCGGAATCTAGCTGCAGGTGCGCGGCTCCGAGGAGTCTCTGATCTACCGGGAGGTCGCCGAGGTGCTGCCGTAGGGCGCCGAAGGCGCCGACGACGACAGCGAGGCCGAGGGGCGGGCGAGGAGCTCGCTCGTGTCCAGGCCCAACGAGCAGGTGTTCACGCGGCAGAGTTCGCGACCGCGCGCCGTGCGCCGCTCGGGGTTCGCCGTGGCGCGCGCGTCGCAGGGCCAGACGCTGCGCGAGGGCGTCGCGGTCGACTGCGCGAGGTCCGAGGACGCTGGTCTCGCCGGCGTGTCGGGCGAGCAGGTGGCTGCGTTTCTGCGTCATGTTCTCCCGCGCCACGCGCGTGCGGAACGTGCTGGCCCCGCGGCCGCCTGGAACGAGGGCCGCCAGCATCCTTGCGGAAGGGGCTCCTGGAGCTCGTTGTCAGAGCGGGAAGCTTCGCGGCAGGGGCGGAACAGCTCGCGGCAAAGCTTGGCTTCGTGTTGCGCCCGGCCTGAGCGCGGCGGCGCCCCGCTCGGAACCCGCGAGGTTGCCCCGACGGCTTGGGCTCGCGCGCCAGCGGCTCGCGGGGTTGTCCCGGCGGCATGCCCCGCGGGGCTGTCGCCGGCGGCCGCGCGATTTCGCCGTCGGAGAAAGCGCCTTTGCCATGCGCGGCGGCGAGGGCGCCGAGGAAGATTTGCGCGCGCGCCCCTGCCAGGAGGAAGGAGAGGCGCAGGGGGAGACCGAGCGGGGCGGCGATGAGGGGGGGGGAAGGAGGAGGGCGGAGGAGTGCAAGGCGAAGGCCGAGGAGGAGGAGGAGGAGGAGGAGGAGGAGGAGGAGGAGGAACGCGAAAGGGAGAGGGGAAAAGTAGAGGAGGCGGAGGAGGAGGATGAGGAGGCGGAAGACGAATATGATGATACATGCAATTAGTAGGACGAGAATGAACAGGAGGAGGAGAAGGAGGAAAAGGAGGAAAAGGAGGAGGAGGATGAAGGCGGACGGAGAGGGCGGAAGGGACCGTCCGCCCGACGAAGAAAAAGGCGAAGGGCGAGCTAAATCAATTTTGTGCGGGGTCTTGCCGTCGGAGTATTGGGGTGTTCCTGGATTTCTTTGTCGTCTCCACGGCCGGGCGCGGCTGGAGAGGTTGGCCAGGACGGGCCGCGGGAGGGGCCCCCGGGTCCGTGAGCCAGTGTCGGGTGGGTTTGGGTCGGAAGTGGTGCGGGCGGGCCCTAGTCCTCGCCGCTTTCGCTCGCCATCTCCAATGGGGCGCTCAGGTTTCGACTTTCGCCCTTGATCAATGTGCCGTGCCGCGCCGTGCCCTGTCGCCAACTTGCGAATCCGTGCTGCTCGGGCCGCATGGTGCCGTATGCCGCGTCCCGATCCGTGCCGCCAAGTCGCGGGTCCGTTCGGGCGCATGTTGTTTCGTTGTTGTGCCTTGCCATCGAGCCGTGCCGAGCAGTGCACGGCACGGCACAGCACGGGACAAACGCTTGGGTATGGCGTGCCGTGGACGCTTTGCCGTGCAGTGTTCGACACGTTGGCAGAGCGTCGGTGTTGGCAGTGGCTGCGTTGGTGGCACAGCGAGCGCACGTGGACGTCACCCGCTGCAAGTCACCCGGGTCGTTCCATGCCGTGACGGCGCGGACGTTTTGCTATGTCGTGTGTTGTGTGCCGTGTGCAGTGTGGTGCCGTGTGCGGTGCTGTGCCGTGACGGCGCGAAACATGTGCTATGCAGGGCGTTGTGTTCCGTATGGTGTGAGATGTGTGCCGTGTGCCGTGCGGCACCTCGCCGTGCCACTGCTTGAATTTGCGAATCCGTGGCGCGCGTGCGGTGCCGTGCCGCGTCGTTACTCTGCGAATCTGTGGGGCGCGCGCCGTGCCGTGTCGAGACGCTGTTCCGTGCCAGGCCATGCTGCCTATGCCCACGTCCTGCACCTCACAGCTGCACCTGTATAGTATACACCTCTCCTCGTATTTCCCATTTGCATTTGCGTATTCGTCTGCGTCTGTGTTTGCACTTGTGCCTGCCTGTGTGCAGAGCGCAACACAAGGTCCATATAACATCCATATGTACGGCTACAACCACACTCCCATCCACCTTTCACATCTATATTCCTTATTCGGCATATTGCCTTTACCCACTGTGGCTGCACAGTGCAGCCAGCAGTTTACGCTGTTTTTGTCAGCGCCTTTTTTTCTGTTGCGTTCTTAATTCCTTCCTTCGCTACGAACGTGCCCCTGAATAGATGTCAGCGTCTGCGTCTTCGTCTACGTATCCCTGTGCATCCTCATCCTAACTAGAATCTGCTAGTGCGTCTACGCTTACAGCATATCATCACCTTTGAAACGATTCCAGCCTGAACCCACGCAGCGAATTATCCGTAGCCATTTGGCTCAAGGGATCGGGCATTGATCGCCCTATTAGGGCCTTTACACACTACTTGCATACTGCATCGTTGGTTCCCCATTTGTTGCCACTTGGTTGTCTACTTCTGCTGGCCAGCTCAATTTGGTAGGATGGGGGCTGCTTGGAAGTCAGCGTGGACTATCTTCCAGGTGATGGCATTCACGCCCTCGACACACGCTCTCGCTCTCCAACACGACTTGGCGGGGGCCGACGTGCCGGACGAGACCGGCGCCCTTGAGAGGGTATTCGCGAAGCTCCAGGCCACAGCGACGGCCCCAACTGCACGGTGGATCAGAATGACTGCTACATCAGGACCGGCGGGTTCAGTGGAGTGCGTCATCAATGAGATCGCATTTTATTCCGATGGAGGCTTCCTTGCCCAAGTGTCATTGAACGCCGCCATATTCTCGGGGATGGGGCCATCCATTGGTCAGTGTTCTGAATGCAACGGGTTTGAGTGCAGGTCCCCAGACTGCTCGCTTTCCAACATCATGGACGGGAATTGGGCCATGTCGGGTTCGGCAGGGACTTATCATTCTTTCTACACCATTGGAACAGCTTGGTACTTCGAGTTTGTGACCGCTTCGGCCGTAGGTGGGATGAAGATGACCACAGCAGACTGGGGCACAGTGTCATTCAAGCTTGAGGCAAGCATTGATGGCATTACCTGGAGGGATTTGGCAGTCTCACCAAGTACAACTATTAAAGGAGCTGCTATCGAATACTTGATCTCCGAGCCTCCCACGGCTTCCCCCACGCCGGCCCCGACGACGAGCCCGACCTCGTCCCCGACGCCCAGTCCGACGAGCAGCCCGACAAGCAGCCCGACCTCGCCCCAGACGCCCAGCCCGACGCCCTCGCCGACTGACACCAGCCCCACGCCGATTCCGACAGCGCCCCCGCAAGTTTCCGCGTCTGGCGATCCGCATTTGACGAACGTCTACGGTGAGCGATTTGACCTGATGCGGCAGGGCCAGATCTTGCTCATCAATATCCCACGTGGAAAACCTGTGGATTACGCGCTGCTCGTCGTGCAGGCCGACGTGCGCCAAATGGGTGAGCAGTGCGCGGACATGTATATCCAGAGGCTGAACATCACAGGGGCGTGGGCGGACGAGGCGCACGCCGGCGGCCTCACCTTCGATGCCAAGGCGGCGCACGAGGCAGGCGCCGGGTGGGCGAAGTTCGGCCCGATGGAGCTCAAAGTCGCCCACGGGCGCACGGAGAGGGGCATCCCGTACCTGAACTTCTACGCCAAGCACCTCGGGAAGGCTGGCTTTGCCGTCGGAGGTCTGCTGGGAGAAGATGATCACACCGAGGTTTCGACGCCCGAGGCAAAGTGCGGCAAACAGGAAATATCCCTTTCGCGTCTTTTCGGAACGACGCGTGTAGCGCCGAGTTCGGCTCCGAGTTCTGTCGCGGTGGCGAGCTTGGACTGAGGTCCGATGGCCCAGTTTCACCCGCTCCTTTTGTTCTGGGCGCGTTCTAGGCCTTTTGCTCCACAGCTCTGGGCGCGTTCTAGGTTTTTGGCTCTTTGGATTCTTTCGCGTTCCTGTCTCTGAAGCCCCCCTTCGGGATAGAAAAAAAACCCACGCAGCGAATTAGTGTGAGCCATGTAGTGCAATTCAGCGCATCGCAAATCGACGCAATGCGGTGCAAAACAGCACACCACGACAAACCAGCGGCCCACATGGCACAACGTACGGGCGCAACTCATGGAAGGAACTCATGGCCACGAAACCCAGTTGCACCCATGACGCATCCCAAGGCGCACTCCGTGTCCCCGACTCACGGCGCAACCTGTGACAATAGCTTCTATGCCGGTCAGAGATCAGCGGCTTTCGGTGCATAGTTCTTCAGAATATGGGTGATATTCCCTAAGCGCAAGACGCAGTGTCTGAATGATGCATCCAGCCGCCTGCTGCAGGCCCCGCCACAGCGCCTCTGCAACAGCGTAGCTGGAGGATCTTCGGATTCCTTTACGCTTCGCGCGTTTCCACCAGCCCATCCAGGAACGATGCCCAGGGGAGCTGGCCTTCTGGGGGAGCGTGTCAGCATTTAGAGAGCTTGGGGAGCCTCCGTGGGCCCTAGGCTTCTTGGATGCCCCTCGGAGTCGCTTCGGAGACCTCCTTGGGCGTCTTGGGGGGCCTCCTGGCGGCTCTTACGTCCGTTGGGTCGCCTTGGCGGCCTCTTTGAGACTCCCTCGAGTGTCTTGTGGGCTTCTTTGGGGTCTTCAGAGCCTCTTGGGGTATCTTGGGGTGCCCCTTGGAGGCCTCTTGGGCGCTCCTTCGGGGAGGGTGCTGTTTTGATCCCCTCGTGGGGCCTGTTTGAACACTCCTATTTTCGGCGCCGTAGTGGTTTGTGTGTATCGTAGTGCGGGACATTGCCCTAAAGTGCTCTGCAGAGGGGGGGGGAGCGATTCTAGCGGTGGGATGGTCGTCCAGAGGGGGGTCGGCCTTGGGAGACACTTAGACAAACCCACCAGATGACAGGGGAGCACGACGGAAAGAGCGCCCCAACGGGGGGTCTGGCGGGGGGGGCGTGGCGGAGGAGAATTTTCCAACAAGCCTTCCTGGGGCCATGTTGGTTGCTTTTTCGGCCCAGGACGGGCCAAGAGACCCCCAAGAGACCCTTAAAACGGCTTAAGATGCCTCCAAGACCGCCCAAGAGACGCCCAAGAGGCCCCAAGACAGCCAAAGAGCTCTCCAAAAGGGGCGAAGATGGCCCCAATACGGTCCAAGAAGCCCCCCAGACGGTCCAAGAGCTTCCCACGAGGACTTCCAAAAGGGACACCGGAGGCAAAAACCATTGATGTCCCCAAGGTTTTTTGAGGATTTTGGGATTCTCGTTTCGGGTCAACAACGGCCAAACACGGCCCTGGGGGCCTCCGAGGTCGTCCCAAAACGTCCCCAGAAGGTCCCAAACGGTCCACGAGCGCTTCAAGACGGCCCAGGAGAGCCCAAACACGAGCCAAGGAGGGCCCCACAGAGGCCCAAAAGCCTCCCAGGAGAGCCCCACAGGAGGCTCACAAGAGTGCCCCGAGAGTGCCCCAAGCCTGCCCAAGCCACCCAAAACGGTCCAAGAGGGCCCCAGAAGGCCCCCAAACGGCCCCAAAGACCCCCAATAGGCCTCCAAGAGGCACTCCGAGATACCTCCAAGAGCCTCTTACGAGGCCCCACCAGAGCGAACCGTGCCGTCAAACACTCTGACCGCCAAGGCTCCTCGGAGCGGACGGTGACATAACAACTCCGATCACCATGCCGGCCGTCCTACCGTGACTCGCGCTCCAGTTTGCTCCAACAAGCATGCATGGCAATCCTTGTGTCCAAATCGCTGCCGCGTAAACGGCCGCCGAACCCCCGAGACCGTGTGCAATATCCGCTCCACGTTCCCGCTCTGTCCGTTCCCGTGCCCGGCCCAGGTTCCAGCACGCCCACTCCGTGCAGGCACAGTGGCGGGCACTTAATGTGCACGCGCAACTGCAATTGCGCATACGCCCACTTGTCACACACGCATGGACATATGAATTTGCGTGTTCATCCACATCCGCACCCTGATATTCATGCACATGCATGTCTACGTGCTTCTACTTGCCGGCAACAGCATTCACACATGCACACGCACATCCTACGTCCGACAGCATAGACCAGACGTGCATTTGCACCTACACTGGCACTTACACATGAATATATTCATATATGTCTGTAAATGCATCATCATGCAGACAGACACAGTGGCACTCTTGGTGGCAGGCACCAGCTTTCACTCTCTGGATGGCGTAACAAGGCATGGCGCTATATCTCTATATACGTATATACATATGACGGCGCACCGGGCCCGGGGGCCGAGGGCCGGAACCTCGACCGCAAATGTGGGCCCCAGGGCCAGGGCCCGCATTAGGGAGCTTAAAATCGCCCTGGGGAGCCCTCAGACAGCGATCCCGGCGGCCCCACACGGTCTCGAGACACCCCCAAGACGCCGTCCAGGGGTCTCTGGCGACGCACGACGCGCTTGAAATTGTGCCCCGGAGGCCCCCAAGACGCCCCAAGAGGCTTTTAAGATGCCGCCCAAGAGCGCCCCGAGAGGGCGAACTCGTTGATTTTTTTGTGGTTTTGCATTCTCGCTGTTTCGTGTTTCCGGCGCTGAAGCACCACCCATGAGGCTCCCAAATCCGCTCCAAGACGGCCCAAGAGGCCCCCAAGAGGGCCCCAAGACGGCCCAAGAGAGCCCCGAGACGGCCCCAGAGCCGCCCAAGATGGCGCAAGAGGGTCCCAAGAAGGCCCCAAGAGGGGCCTAAGAGAGGGAACTCGAACTGAACAATCGAGCTCTCCGATTCAAGATGCCCTCAAGAAGCCCCCAGGAAGCCCCCAGGAAGCCCCCAAGAGGCCCCAAGAGGCCCCAAGAAGCCCAAAAGAGGCTCGCAGAGAGCCCCGAGACGGCCCAAGAGCCGCCTCGCGCTATCCTTCGCTACGCGCTATTCTTCAAGCTAGCTAGAACTTGAGCGCGCGCGCAGCGCGCGATGGTTCTATATACGGCATCGAATACGGCACGATCCCTCTTCACAGAACTATGTATCCGCGCCCCCGAGCCCACGACGCCTCGACTCAAAACACATCTTCGCTCCAGGGGCCACGATCATGTGTAAAGCACTATGGGTCCGCGCTTCCGAAACCACGATCCCTAGCCAAACAAATAAATGATGCAACGCTACTGATGCCACGTTTCCAAACGAACCATGGATCCGCGCTTCCGAGGCCACGAACACTTGTAACAACCTACATGTCCACCACTTCCGCAAGTTCCTGGGAGGCCCCGCGGAGTGACGTCCCTTGGGGACCCAAATGGGACCTTGCCAGGTCCACAGATGTCGTCACTTTTGTAAGCTCCTGGGAGGTCCAGCCGAGTGACGTCCCACGCGAGCCGAGAAAAGGGACCTCGCCCTCCCTGGGGGCTGCCAACTGCGCGACTGCCCTGCCTGGGTGCTGCCACCTGCGCAGCTGATCGCCACTTTCGTGAGCTCCTGAGAGGCCGAGCGCTGTGACATCCTACGGAGCCCCAAGTGGGACCCCGCCCTGCCTGGGTACTGCCAACTGCGCAACAGGCGCCACTTTCGTGAGCTACTCGGAGCTCCATCGGAACGACGTCCTAGCAGGACCTTTGTGGGACACCTGCCTGCCTGGGCTCTGCCCACTGCGCAACTGTCGCCACTTTTGTCAGCTGCTGGGAGGTCCAGCGGAGCGAAACCCCACGGGGACCCAAGCGAGACCTCGTCATCCCTGAGCGCTGGCAACCGCGCAACTGCCGCCATTTTCTTCAGCCCTTGTGAGACATGGTCGAGGGACGCCCCACGCGGAGGCAAATGAGCCTCGCCTCGGGCCAAAACGATCGCCCCAACACGGCCCAAGAGACCCCCCAGAGGGCGCCAAGACGGTCCCAAGACAGTCCCAGAGGCAGCGGGAAGGCCCGAACGGACTCCCAAATTCCAGAGTGTTGGAGCCTGGGCCCATGGCCGTCACACCCTCCCGGGTTTCCGCTTCTTTTTTGTTCTCCCTTTTGCTCCCCCCCCTGCCCCCCCCCGTCCAGAGCCTCCTGGGCCTCCCCCCGGCCACCCCGGCCGCCCAAAACATTTTCCATGGGGACACGAATTGGCGACGAAAGCGGCGCAATACGGCCCAAGACGCCCCGTGATGGTTTCAAGATGGCTGAAGAGATTCCAAGAGGCCTCCCAAGACGCCCCAGGGAGGCTCCAAGATGCTCCCCAAGAGGGCCCAAACCACCGCATTCCCATCGGACAGTTTATGTATATATATATATATATATTCAGCATATTTGGTTGTCAGGTCATCACAGCGCCCAGGACGGCTCAAGAGGCCACGAAGATCGCCCTAAGACAGCTCAAAATGCCCCCAAGAGAGCTCCAAGTCGGCCCAAGAGAGCCCCAAGACGGTCGAAGAGGCGCCCAGGACGGCCCAAGATGGCCCCACGAGGGGCCAAAGAAAGGGCACTCCAGCTCACTTGTCGAGCACTCCGGCCCAAATTGACTTCCCAGACCGCCAGCAGTCTCCCAAGAGGCCCCCACGAGGCCCGAAAGAGGCTTCAAGAGGCCCCCAAGCAGCCCTCAAGAGGCCCCAAGAGGCCCCAAGAGGCTCCAAGACTAGCTCCCAGGGGCTCCCGAGAATCATGCCAGGAAACCCAAGAAGCCTCTGACTCACAACCCAGGCACGGTGGCAGTCTTAGCCGCGAGCGGACAGCACCCCACCCTGCAGTCCAGTCGGGTTTGCTTCGCCTTCGCGGGCGCTCAGCGTCGCGCTGGCTTGGGGGGACGAGGACCGAGGAACTTGGTTTTGGCCGGCGGGCCATCTTCATGGCCCGTCGCCCGGCAACGGGGCGGGCCATTCGTAGCCCGCCCCGTCGTCCACGGGTCATTTCGCCCGCGGTCAAGGGGGGGGAGGCCTGGGGGCGCTCAAGATTGAAGCCTTGGTGTCCCGAGGCGCCCCCCCCGCCGCGAGACGCGGTCAAGGTTGGGTCCTGGGGGGGGTTCAAGCTTGAAGCCGCAGCGCCCCAAGGCGCCCCCCAGGCCGCGAGACGTGGTCAAGGGGGGATGCCCGGGTGGCGTTGTAGAGGACCGCAGAGCGAGGAGCGAGGAGGTTGGTTGGT